AAACTCTGCTCGGAATTTAATGAAATGTGAGGTTAGTGTGCAAAGTAAGTTGTTAATTTTAGGGCATTTATCAAGAGACCTAGGGTAGAGGAACTACTATGTAATATAGGAAACAGGGAAAAACAAAGCTGAGCTTGCCAGAACAGTTCCTTCTTAATTGGACTGACATCATGAACTGCCCTGGCTCTACAGACAAGGGCACTGTTTCTCCAGAGAGCCAACACGACCCACCCTCCTCAGCCCAGCACTACGTGGCCGGGGCTCTTGTTCCCACACCCACTCAAGCAATCTACAGTCAGGTGACATTAGACCTCCGTCTCCTGCCAAATTCTCTAACTTTATAAAATTAAAAGTCACTTAGAAGAGCAAAGAAAAGCTATCAATACTGTCTCCTAAGTCAGACATACCTGGTTTGAGGTCATAGTGTATGATGGGAGGTTTTATTTCATTTAAGTACTTTAAAGCATTCACAATCTGCATGATAATGGATCGGGCCTCTTTCTCCGACATTAATTTGTGCTGTTTCAGGTAGAAGTCCAGATCATTTCCCTCACAGTATTCTAATACTGTACAAAACCTAAAGACAAATAAACCAACATTTGACCACAGGATGAGAGCAAGCAGATTATGACTAACTAAATCAGCCCCAGTGAAACCTTTAGGTAATTAGCTTCTCACTCCTTCTGTGTTCCTTAAAATACTTTAAAAAAAAAAAAAAATTACTCTTCTATTCTTTATTCAGTTTAGTTACCTGAGTGGTTTTCAGGAAGAAAACTGCTTACTCTTGGTGAAGAGTCTCCATGTCCCTACACCCCCCGCTGGACTCTGTGGTACTCAAGTTCTTGCATGGCATACCTCTTCTTGAATTCAGACTAAAAGAATACTGACAAGAACTGCAGTGTATTTAAAGTAGGTATCTTTTTGGAAGGGTCCTCCTTTATGTATCCACGTCAAGCTCCATTTCTAAACAAGCATATCGTGACCAAGGCAGTTTTCGGCAAATATTTTCTACAGCCCTGAGTGCTGACAGCAAGGAAGAATCTCGGGTTTGCCCAGGTCCCAAGGACCAGCTGCATATTCTATCTCTTGGCAGTTTGGCACAATACTGCACGACAATTTCTCCTTGCTAAACACAACATAAAAGAGCTTTTTAAAGTATAGTATCTGTGGTTCTAACAAATGTGTTATTACACAGTATGGGTTTTCTTCTTTCACATATATCGATACATTAAACAGACCCAAATTTAAAACCACATACCATTCCTGGCATTAAGGGCCACGTGTATCTTCCAAGGCAGCTATAAACTAAAGTAAAGCTTTCCAAACTGTCTGAGTATTCCTGAGAGATGAATACCTTTTAAACTATTCTAAGCTGTAACAATATGGGTGTTATCACCCAGGGTCTAGCCAGGAAATAAAAATACTTCAGTATTTAAAACAGAGAAGCTTTAATTCAGAGAACTAAACACAGATGATGACAGATCTGAAAAGACAAACTGGCCAGTGAGGCACCCCAGATATCATCTAGAGCAGGAAGTCATTAGCACCCTAAGGCCAGAGGGCCAGAGGAAGGAGATGGTGTAACTAGAACCCAAGGTCACCAAAGGAAACTGGAACCACACTGTGTGGGGGGTGTCCTCCACCCACCACCATCTGTATCCCTATTGGCTGAACCCAGCTGAGTAACAACTGACACGGGAACCTGGTGCACACAGCCTACATGGGCCAACTCATCTAAGATGCAGAACACGGGAAGGGTGAGGAGCAGACCTGAGAGCAAACAAGCTCAGGACTAGCACTACGGACCTGCGGGCAATCCAAGGCCTTCCACATGCACTGCAAGGAAATGTGGACATGCGCTTCTGTGAGAGTCCAAAACTGAACGACAGCTTTACGCTTTTTATGAACCATGCCAGGGCATGCCGGTACCCTATGTGAGAATAAATGTCTGGAATGTACAGATTCTCCGATCTGAGACACTGAAATCTGAGACATGGAGTCTCATGCTTAGTGGATTTATTCTTTGACCCAAATGCAAGCTGAAAACAAAATCTAAACTTTTAATCCTGAATGACTTACAGAAGACTTTCTAAAATGATGGTCTGACTTATTGTTCATGAAAATTCATCACACAATAGGAAGAACAAAGTAAATAACTCAAGAATAGTACAAAATTAGTTCAATTTCTTAGATTAGTTAAAAGTATGTATACAATTCAAAACAGTAGATAACCTAAAATCGTTATATTTATTTTTGAAATATTTCTTCAAGTTACGTTTTGGGGGGTGGGAGTGAGGATCCTACCTAGTGTTCAAGGAATTTACTCAAAGCAAAACGGTAACGCCACGCTGTGGAGATCTGCTCTCTAACTAGGTATTTTTCTGAACCCCACTCCATGCTGAACACACATGGCTACGCCTGGTACAAGGGCCGCCCTAGCAGACAGAGGAAGAGATGGTGTATGCTTCCCAAGGGAATTATGGTCTCCTTTTGGGGTCATTTCTAAATGTGGGCCAGTTCTCTGTAGCAATCTGAGACAGCTGCTACCTGAAATGGGCCCAAACTCCTGGAGTCACGCTGGAAGACTGAGAAGCCAGAACCTGAAGGCCAGACCCAGAGTACGTTCTCCCGACTCAGGTTAGACTCCTAAGGAGAAAACGTTTCCATATGCTGAAATACTCTCAATTCCTGGATAAACCCAGAGGTGCTAGAATTTATCTATATCTGGTAACAAAATACAACAATTCCTAAGATTAGTAAAGATCTTAGACAAGTCATTTAACTTTTTTTGGTCCTTAAATCTCTACCTATAAAATGAAAAGGCCGGACAAGAGCTCTTCCAATTCTAACAGCCTGTAAGGCTATGAACCTGTATTTTAACACACAGCACTGGGCAATGCCTTCATTTAAATGCCATATTCATTTTCATTCTATGATAAAAATCACATTGCTGATACTTCATTAAAAGGCCTGTCAGTGCTCATCAGGGTCTCCAGGGTGGAGCAGAGGCTCTTTTGAACAGTCCACACTCACTGGTGCATGCCGGCACCAATGTGTGCCAGTTTCTGAGAGCTGGTAGTTAAATTTTCAGGAATTTTGTGAGCTGGTTATGAAGCCATTGGTAGCATGGATAAATGAAAGGTGGTATATCCATACAATGGAATATATTTGGTCATAAAAGGAATGAAGTACTGATACAGACTACCGCAAAGATGAACCTTGAAAACACATTATGCTGAGTGAAAGAAGCCAGTCACAAAAGTCCACATACTATATGATCCATTATTTATAAAAGTTCGGAATAGGAAATGTATAGACACAAAAAAGTAGATTACTGGTTGCTTAGGACTAGGGGTCCTACCAGTGGAGGAATAGGAAGATGATAGCAAAAGGTTTCTCTTTTTGAGGTAATGAAAATGTTCTAAATTTGACTATGGTGATGGTTGTGCACATCTGAAAACCACTGAACTGTATACTTTAAAAGATTGAACTGCATGGTATGTAAATTATATCTCAATGAAGCTACTTTAAAAACAATGGGAGCTCAAAATTGGACATGTTGAGAGTATTTACACCACAGTAATTGGTGTAATTTATAGCCCCATCTCTCTCCCCACCAAGCTGGATGTTAAACACATACCAGCACATACCCTTTGGCCAAGAGATGTCTTGATGGCCCAAATGTGAATTTACATATGATCATCTGTCCATAAACAAATATATTTGGTCCCTCAAAAAGTACTCCCTAGACTCAGATTTAAACTCTATTCCATGAGTAGTCAAGACACTGCAAGAAAATAGTATTAACTGCTAAGCTAAATCGGCACAGCACTTACGAGTCAGTATCCAGTGAAAAGTAATCATATAGCTTAACTATTCTGGGATGATCCAGTTCTTTGTGAATCCGGTATTCCCTAC